CCCCCAAAACCCCAAAACCCCTTTGCTCCGTAATCAAATTGAAATCTTATATACTTACTGTTAATTTAATTAGATACAAAAGCAGTAGCAAATTCACATGTTGAGTGACTAGTGATTAAATTATCTTTATCTGAGCAAGTCTTCTCCATAAAAATCAACATCAATAAGTTTATTATTAAACTCTCTGATTTTGAAATCCATATAAGCATTATCTGCCTCCACTTAAAATCTATATTCAACAAATACCTTGACCAATTGTTCACTTGGGACTGAATGAACTAAGCATGTCAATACTTCTCCATATTTTTCACATTCAAATTTAACTTCTTCTCTAAGATCTTCATCTACTTCTTCAATTCCTACTAAGTCTCTGAATAATAGAACCTTGGATCTTATTTGCGGCAATTGGACCGGTATAAATTGCTAATTCTGAATAGCTGGATTACGATCTTCATTTTTCATCATTATATCTAAACCTATTGCACTTTCTTCAATAATCGCTGCATTTCCATCAGTAAGCTTTGGGACTAATGGATTTAGGATACCTTGCTCCTACTTTCCAAGTCCCTTACCTTTCCATCCCATCGCTTCCATCATTTTCTTAATTTTATTATCTGATCTATTTGAACCTTGCGGAGCATCTTAATTTTCTAAATGTCCTTAAGATTTTCTCAGTCTTGCTTGGTAAGCTTCCTCTGCAGTCATTTCAGTATAATCTTCTTCTTCCTCATCTTACAATTTACCCTTGTTAAGTAACTACTACTGCTAAATTTCAATCTATTTCTTCAATATCCTTTCTCTTTCAACTCTTGCAGCTAATTCCTTCTTCAGTGCTTTTGCTTTACCAATAATCTTTTCAAAATCATTAGGGTTAGCTGGATTGTATTCCTCATCAGCCTAGTTGCCAAGATAAATATCTACCAATCCTGATCTAGTATCAAGCTTTTTAAGTGTTTCATTAGCTTCTATCTCTAATTCTGACTACTCCTCACTTGCCTTGATTTTAGACATTACTTATTTATCTTTTAATATAATTATAACTTTCTCTTTATTTCTTTATATAAGAGTCTCAGGGGTTTTGGGGTTTTGGGGTTTTGGGG